AGAGAGTATATCTATATTACAATTGCGATAAAAACCTCTGGACTCGGTCATTTTTTCCAAAAGGCCGGGTGAGTAAACAGTCGTGAATCAAAAAGGAGAGTGCTCTCACGCACTGACGATGACATTCGTTTTCACATATCTTCTTCGATTGACCTTCTACTGACTCTGATCTCTCCACCCCCAGCCTCTCTCTCTCTTCCCTAGGGTTTCCATACAGGTCTTCTTTCCTTCTCAACCTAAGGTAAACTATATATCTTTATTAATTGTGTATGTATGTATATATTTTGTTATATAGTATAGGTGAATGTTTGTATATGAATCCCGTGTTACAGTTGTAGATTTTTCAGTGTAGGTTTTTTTAAATTTGGATTCATGACATATATATACGTATGGAAGCTCAGGTTATGAGATTTCCAGAAATTGTTTGTGTTGTGTTATGCTATAGGAATTTCTAAAAATTTATGTATGTATGATATGGTATTTGTTTTTGGCTTAGGGTTGTGATGGATTTGATTTGACGCATTATTCCTTCTCAGCCTGAGGTACACTATATATGCTTATTACTTAGTCATGTATAAATTTGTTTTTCGTGTATGGAACTGTTGAAACATTTTGACGGGAAATGGTTGTTTATGAAACCTGGATTGCAGTTGTGGTTTTGTCATTGTAGGCGGTTTTAACCTTGGATTTGTACCATATATCTTATGGAAGGGCACTATAAGAAATTTTCAGTAATTGTATGTATTTGGGAAGTCTCTAGGAACTTCGGTTTTTGTTTTAGGGTTTAAATGGTTTTGATTTGACGCTGCAGTGGACTTAAGCCTGCCATTGCGTTTAATTTACCCACTTTTGGTTGCTGAGAAAATTTTGACGTGAAGAAAACAATTTTGATTCTGATTCTCTTTCGTATTGCAGTTGTTTAATTGCGGTATAACACCCATTTGAGGCACGGGCTTGCTCGATTGTTGATAGATATTTGACGAAGAAAAACAAGAGGTCATAGATCCAAATTCTATATCTCTGTCAAGTTTTATCACTCTAGAGGTGCATCTCTCTCTCTCTCTCACACACGTAGACGCATGTGGGCTTGTGTGCAAGATCCGATTTATAGTCTTACAATCTATATACATGTTGTTTGCAAAACTTGTACTGCATATGTGACAAATTTTGGTGTATTCTGTTGGATCAATTGCATATGTATGGGTATTCTAGATCAGTTTTCATTCTGGATACTAAGGACACAGTTAAAGGAACGAGGTTCAAATGTATGCATATTTACACGGACACACGTATGCTCCAGTACAAGATGTATGTATGTAATTATAATCAGTCCGTACGTAAGGTGGTGTTGGAAATTCGGGGAACAAAAGAAGGAAATCAGAACAGAAAAGCTAAAATGAGACATTTGCTGGCATGGAATTCAAGCCTATGAAATGAATTTTGGGGATACTTAGTTCAAATTTTGAATGGATTTTTTATATTTCCCATTCTAAGTTCTCAATTTTCAGTTCCATTTGTGTTTTCCTTTGTTTTTAATGGTAACAAAAATAATAATAATTCCAATGTTCTGAAACTGGTGAATGTATGAGTTTTACTACCATAGAGGGGCAGTCAATGCACTTGGAACGACCTCTTCTGTTTGCCCAGTCACCCTTGATACCTAACATTTATATCCATGTCTCTGCTCTCTTTATATTGGTTTACATAGAACGTCTACTTTTCTCACACCCTTAAAGGTTCATGACTTCATGCTGCTACTGCTAACTTTCACCTTTTTAAAAAAAAAAAAAGTACCATAACACAGTTGTAGTGATTTATCAAATTAGGAGTTAAGGAATTTGGAACTTATTAGTTCAAATTTGAACTAATTTTTTCTATACTTTTTATTCCAAGGTTCACAGTTTTTATTTTGCCAAAAATAAAACCAGTGTTATGTAACTAGGACATGGACACTTTTTGCTAGGTGGGTTGCTTTTTTCCTTCATTTTTGTATGAAACAAAAGCAACCCATGATTTGTTGTCCTAAAACAAGTGAATGAAGGAATTTTACTTGCATAGAAGGGGAAGCTATGCACTTGGTACAACCTCTTCCTGTTGTCTACAAGACAACACCCTTGATATCTTCATGTTTGTAAACTTGCCCAATTGTGATAAATGGCGAAAGGGAAGCTACACATTTGTCTACCTAACGTCCACGTTCCTCTATTCTCAAAAAAAAAAAAAAAAAAAAAAATCCACGTTCCTCTCTTTTCTCTTTGCATATTGGCTGGCAAAGAATATACTTTTCTAGCACAAAGAAGTTCATGACTGAATGTTGTTAGCGATTCGAGAGAGTAAGCAAGAAGCTCAATAACTCATTTGTGATCTTCTTGTTCGTGAACCTAATCCCAAGTTTCAATTTCTTATTGAGTTCTCAAGTTACAAAAATATTCAAGAAGCAGCGTTTCATATTTTTATTGAGGAGAAAACGGCCCCCCATTTGAGCGAAGTCTCCGGCCTTCCCCATTATTACTTAGAGCATCTCTCACATCTTACAAGTCACTTGCGAATGAGCTTCCACCTTTTGAAGTACGACATCACAATTTTCATGATTTATGCAAAATTTAAATGCATATTAAATGGAAATGGTGCGATCTGTGTGATAGTGTTTTGGAAATGTGAACTCTCTCTCCTTTGTCGGGGTAAAAATAGCTATCTGAGAAGGCCAAATTCAATATATTTTCATTTTATTTTCTGTGGTGTTATTAATAAAAAGTTTAGAGTAAATGTTGGGTTGGGAATCGGGAAGAAAACTTGCAGTTACTTATACACATCACTTAATAATGGAATGATGTGATGAGGATTTAAAAACTAACTATACCTATATTACTGTAGCATTGATGGAGTGTTAAATATCTATGAAAAGTTTGATTATAGACGAGCTGAAAGGTTATTTTGTATCTGGTTGATTTCCTATTGGAAGTGGGGATGATTTATTCTATTTTGTTACTCATAGCGTAGATGAAAGACGGTAGAGATGGAATCAAGTTTGATAGAATTTCAAGATCTTCATCTGTAGACTCTCATCCTCTAGTTCTGGACATAGATGACTTTAAGGTAAAGCTCAGAATCTCTCAATTTCATGTTTGAGTTGTATGTTTAAGATCTTCACTTGTCACCGACTAAGAAAAAGAAAATGATCTTTACCAGTTGTAAGTATGCTACTGTTCTGCTCCCTGTCTTAATTACTAATTTCTGTCTTACGTAGGGAGACTTTTCATTTGATGCGTTATTTGGTAACTTAGTAAATGAGCTTCTGCCATCTTACCAAGAACAAGAAACAGATTCATTAGAAGGGCACAGTCACATTACTGGGGGTGATCTTTTGGCAAATGGGAATTTGCGAATTCCATCAGATGCTGGGAAGTCTGCACAAGGGCTATCAAGCCCTTTATTTCCTGAAGTGGATGCCCTACTATCTTTGTTCAAGAATTCTTGTCAGCAGTTGGTTGATATTCGAAAACAGGTATGTTTTTACTTTGTGGGTTCATTTAGATCGTCTTGTAGGGCATTTCGTCTAAGAATAACTTTCTTATGTCTGGTTAAAGATTGATGGAAAACTCACCAATCTCAAGAAAGAGGTAGCTATTGAAGACTCTAAGCACCGCAAGACGCTAGCTGAGGTTAGTAAGTAAGGAGGGTTTATGTGTTGCTTCTCAATACACACATGAATATGTACATGTGCACACAGACACACATGTATTCTTCCTCTGGTGATATCGTGTGCATTCTTCCTCTGGTGATATCCTTCTCCATATATATTGAAAATAACTTGTAACCTGTACAAAGGAGCCAAGTTCTTTTAAACAGTCTGATGTTTGGGTTCCACATTTTAATGATTTAAAAGATCACTTTGCAGGAGAAAAATCCCTTACATAAATTGTTGACTATCTTTTTTTGGTATGTATTCTCAATTAACCATGATTATATGTCAAGAGTCCATGACATTAGGTTGTGGCAATCTATGCCTTTTTTTGAAAATAATCCCATTGGTTCTACATTGTCTTAGGGGTTGTTTGATAACACCACTTTAGGTTTAAAACTTAATATTTTAAGCACTTAATAAATTAAACCCGTTTGATAACCTAAAACTCATACTACTTAATATTTTAAGCAATTTTTTAAAATAGGTTAAAATTTTAAGTAGCAAGCCACCTATTTATCACTTAATGCTGAAAATTTTAGTTGGTAACGATTTTATCAATTTCTCATAATGGACAAATATACCCACACCACCATTGTATCATTGGCACCACCACCACCACCATTGTATCACTGCCGCTACCACCATCACCGTCGCTATCACCATCATCGTCGCTACCACCACAACCATTGTGCCGCCGCCGCCACCACCACAACCATTGTGCCGCCGCCGCCACCACCACCATTGTGTCGCCTTCAGTCATCGTCGCCACCACCACAACCATCATTGTGCCACCGTTACCACCATCACCATTGCCGCCACCGCCGCCACTACCACCATTATTCTGCCACCACCACCACTATTCTACCGTCGCTGCCACCACCACCACCATCACTGTCATTGCCATCACCACCACTGCCACTACAATTGCCATCACCGCCACCGCCACCATCATTGTGTCGCTACTACTATCACCACAGTGTTGCCGCCACTACCACTATCACCATTGCTATCGCCATCACTACTATTGTGCCGCCACCACCGTTGTGATGGTGGTGATAAGAATAAACAGTTGTAGAGAGATTGTTAAAGTGAAGGGCAAAATTATAATAATAATAATTTTCAGACTTCAGCTCCTTATATTTGTCAAACAGTTTGATTAAATTCAATACTTAAATATCAGTTAATACTAAACAGCCTGCGAATTAAAAAATTCAGTATTCAGTTTTTAGTTTTATCAAACACCATCTTACTAAAACGTTAAAAGTATATTGGCACTTTCTAATAATTCTAAATTTGGTACCTAGTTATTAGTAAGATGCACTGTCTGCAAGGATTCACATGTCTTAATTTTCAGCTGGAAAAAGGTGTAGATGGCTTGTTTAATAGCTTTGCACGATTGGATTCCCGTATATCTAGTGTTGGACAAACTGCTGCCAAAATTGGAGATCATCTGCAGGTAAAATTTGTGTAATGCTTATCTTTTGTAATGTTTTTGGCTTATGTTTTAACTTATGTGACTTTCTCTTCTCAGAGTGCAGATGCCCAACGAGAAACTGCTAGCCAATCGATTGATCTCATAAAGGTTTATTTAGTAAATAAGCATGGTGATGAGCCATCCTTTGCTTATAATGCTGTAACACTGTTATTTGTTTGAATTGATATTGCAGTACTTGATGGAGTTCAATAGTAGTCCGGGCGACTTGATGGAACTTTCACCTCTCTTTTCTGATGACAGTCGTGTTGGAGAGGCTGCTTCAATTGCCCAGAAATTGCGTAAGACGAATTATTTTTTATAGCATTTAACAATTTTATATCTTCATAACTTCTTACAGTTGTGCCTAATTGAAATGGAAAGTAATGAATATCGAAAGATTTGCTCATCATTCCATACCATAATTATTTTGAATTTAGTTCATGTCTGGGTTAAGCTGTGTGAATCTAGTGTTCCTACTTCTTCTGTTCTATCTTCCTTTATAATACACAATTTCTATGGCAGCTGTTGCTGTGACCAATGTAATTCCCCTTAACCCCTCCCCTTTCGAGACACTCACAGACTTTATTGAATGTGTTGTGCTGCTAAATTTTCAGAATTTGAGTTAAATACTATGGGCTATCTTAATTAGTGATAATCTTGTTGCATGCACACGTTATTCTTGCATGCCAATGAGTTTACTTCTTGAAGATTGCTGCTGTTCTTTTTATTCTCCATTTGCTTCTGTTTTGACAGAATGTGCCATGTGAAGTTGGATACTTAATGAAATGAAAATAAGGAAGAAAAAGAACAACATCAGTGTTTTTTTGGGTTTTATGACTAAAAAACTAATAGGAGAAAAATGAAGTAAAATATTTTTATTAATGGTGGCTAAAACTGAACTCAATGAGGCATTCAATTGAACTGCCTGGCCATCCTTCAATTGTGTTCATCTTCCTCAATTCAGCTTGTTCTAGATCAATTATTCCGCACACATCTATAATTAAAAAATAAATAGTCACCCACATGTGCACATACAGTGGGGCACACTCGGTGAATTTTTAAAGATCTGTTTGAATCTGCTATGTGAAGAAGCAACTACAATAAATATTGTAGTAAGCAAATTGTTGAGGGCCTGTTCGGTCTATTTTTTAATGTGGTGTGGTATAATTTATTCATGTCGTGCGAACACATGCATAGGGTTCATTCGGTAGAAGGGCATTTTCTCCCTGTTATTTCTATTGTAAACATCATAACGCTACCTTACTGGTTTTTGGCTGTAATGTGTGGAGTCCTGTTTCCCTTTAGCTACTTAAGTGCACGGAAACATTCCTTCATTTACTCTGATAAATGATGTTTATTGCAGTTGAAAAAAGTGCTGCAAGTGTTCAAAAGTTACCTCTTGGTCATATTCTTCACTCTTAATTATGTGTTGACTATGTTCTGTCATCCTAGAATCATCCTTGTTTTTTTTTTTTTGGTAAGTGCAATCATAGTTTTTTAGTTGTTTGAAATCATGCTTCATCTTGATTTAGTAATTTGAGATTAGTTTGTGACCACTGACCAATATTGATAAGTAGGGTAAAGATGGTAATTTGTTCATAGCAAGTTGGCCAATATCCTCAATGTTACAGGGAGAATGTGGAGTTACCTCATTTTTGTGTGTTGACGTAAACCAGCATATGCATGGATTGGTTAATAAAGTGACTGAGCTGCTTCTCAATATTATTTCAGAGGGCATTTTATCCTCCTTGTCTGATTATCCATCGGGTTTGCGATATTCTACCTGTAATCCTGCTTTTGTAGTGGGCGTTAATTTCCCTCCTTTGGATGGGTCTCTCAACTTCTACACTTTGCAGCATCTTTTTTATTTCTTATCCCAGGACACGAGGGAAAAACGGAAATTGATTGTTTAATATAAAGCTAGAGGTTTTGTATTCCACTTTTTGTTGGAAAAAACGAATGCTCTGTATGATGGAGAGTTGGATACAGATGGCAGCACCATTTATGAGCATATCAAAGGCGTAGCATAGCAAGGTCAGGATGCTTCCAATGCTCAAGCTTTGACTCGAAGTATATGAAATAATGTGGAGTCGCCTTGGAATCTTGCATAACCGAGTTTTGGGTTGTTGAGCTTTATTTAAGGAATTTATGATGCTTTCTTGTTAGAATTGAATTTAGGATTGCTGAAGAGTCTTGTATAATACTCAGCACTACTTGCAATTCTAAGTTTTTTTTCCTTCCCAGAAATTGTGATATTTAAGAGTGATTCCTGAAATTTCTTTTTCTCACCCCAGGGCTCGCCTTTGAGAGCCCATAGCTGATTAACCTTTGTTCTTCTCTGAAAATGCTCTTGCATGAGCCTAATCTGTCCTCCAACCATTCGCCCATTACACACAAAAATATCAAAATTACTTTTCAAATCCCTCAAGAACATAATGGAACTTTGCCCATCCTTGCCTAATTAAACCATCTTACTTGCTTCTTACATATTTCGCAACCCTAGAGCCCAGAATCTGAACTAACCTTTTAACTACAAAACTAGTGATAATCAGTTAATAGGACCCTGTTAAAGTTGTCTAACCTATTTTTACACACTTCTCCTATATCAGTCTAATAAAACTGTATATCAGTCTAATAAAACTGTGTAACATGTCAGCAATGCTGGAACTGTCGCTAGAAACCTATTTCATAGATGTACGTGGGTATTGTCCGGAAACCTCTGTTGCTCTACACTTATCTGAATCTCTTGCATGCTCAACCTGTCCATGAGTGTATGTGCTTTTTACCTTAATGTCCTAATATTCTTGTTTGCAGTTTTGTGAATGATCACAACATTTTCTGGTGCTTTTTTAGGGTCATTTGCTGAGGAAGATGTTGGAAGACAAGGAATGACTGTATCTTCAGTTGTGGGCAATGCAACTGCAAGCAGAGGACTAGAAGTTGCAGTTGCTAACCTACAAGAATATTGCAATGGTATACTTATTTCTAATTTGATGTTCTTGGTACTAATGGTAGTTGTAGTGACCTTATGTGATGTGCTAATTGCATTGGATTATCTAATTCTTTTTTTCTTTTGTTCTCTTTTAGAATTATCTAATTCAAGTTGATGTTGATGGACTATTCGTTTATTTCCATGTAGGAAAGATGAAGTTTTTCTTCTTTTTTTTTTCCCTTTTTGATAACAAACCAAGGTATATCACAATTGAAGTATGGAAAGAGAGCACTGGAGAGGAGAAGGAGTCCTCTAATAGTTACAAAACGAACAGTGAAAGCAACAACCTGGAAAACAGAGAAGAAAGAAAACAAAGGGAACAAAAAGGAAGTTGTTGTGGGTCATGGCACACCAACCACTTGTGCCCAATGATCTTTAGTAATAATAATAATTTTAATAAGAATGAAGAAAAATAGAATCCCACAAAGTCCTTTGAAAATCCCAAAGGGTTGCCAAGAATGAAATTCCCATCCCATGAGTCTTCTATAGGAGCCTCTCTATCATAAATCTGCATGTTTTGTCCAGCCAAGGGATGCCAACAATTGCCAAAAGTCTATTCCCCTAAGCCTCTCTATCATCCAAAATCAAGGAGCCTCTCTATCATAAAAAAATTTGCACGTTTTGTCCAGCCATACAACCCAAATCAATGCCTGTACCACACATCTCTATGAGGTCTTAACTTTATTTGCTTGAATGAAAATGTTCTAAATCAATAATAAATGCGGAATCAATCAAGGGATGCCAACAATTGCAAAAAGTTTATTCCCAAATTTGAGACAAATAAGCAATGGAAGAACTAGTGGCCCATACATTCCCCCTCATTTTTACAGAGGGTACTTCATTGTGGGAGAAAAGAATTTGTCGGACTTCATTGTTGGATCATTTCATTAGTGTTAAGTTTTTTATGTGCTTGCAATCACTCAATACTTAAAGCTTTATCGGTGCCTTAGACTTCCAAATCTCTGCTGGTCACTTTGGTTTAGTGGTTTTGTAGTGGCTCAGTTTAGCAAAATTGTTAACTATCTCATTTGCAGAAGGATAGTTACCCTTTTAGGCAATGGGCTAGTTGTCTCCTTTGGGTTCAACTGTTATTCATTAAGGATTACACTTTGGACTTCCTTTACAAATCACCAATGAGACGTAACTGATTCTATGGGCTGTAGAGATATATGGTTATCTTGTTCGGAAGTCCAAGTGGATTATACATGAGTATGATTCACCGAATTAGTTGATTGGGTTTGCTACTGGAGGGACCTTGATCTAAAGATCCTTTGTAGGAGTTGGGATGCCCATTTCGTCATGACGTTTCTTCCTTTTCTGGTTTTTTGCCCTTTTGATATACAGTTCCTCCATTTTAGAGTGTCTTGGTTCAGTTTATTATGATTTCACTATACAATAGATCGCACAAAGTAAGTTGGGGGTTCACTTGAAGTAGCACAGAGGATTATGATTGACATATTAGAAACTAAAATGAATCCATTAAAATATTTTTTCTCCATGTGTAAAAAATAAAGGAAGTGAGAGCCCATTTGTGGATTACTTGTTGAAAGTTTCTCATCTGTAATTTTTTCTTGGTAAATTCTAAACTTTCATATCAATTATGTTTCATTGTTCATGCTTATGTAGAATTGGAGAACAGATTGCTGACTCGATTTGACGCAGCATCGCAAAGAAGGGAATTGTCTACCATGGCAGAGTGCGCTAAAATTTTGTCTCAGGTTATTATGTGACCTTTATTTGTCCATTTCATGATCGGATTTTCTTGTTCACTAAAAAAATAGCGCAAGATGCATGTTAGGGAGCACACATAAATCACTAGAGAATGGAAATATAAATCAGCCTAGATTTTAGATGTCTTATAGCACCATCAACTTCTTAAGTCACCTGTCCTGCAAAATTTTCCCCAATCCCCACGGGTAATGATAAAAATAAATTGTATTCGACTCCTTCCTCTAAACTCCCAGCTCTTAAACATGGCTTTCACCAAACCTAGCATAACCCACGCAACACTGAGCAACCACAAAAGAGGCACTTTTAGTATTTCCATTTGAAGAATATATGAAGGTGAAGAATAAAAAGTAAAGACTTTTGTTTCCTGGCCATGCTAGGCTATGCATTAATTAGGATACTGATTGAATGCTTTTCATAGACACTTTGGTAATGCTTTTTGTATTGTGGTCACGTGGTGGTGGCAAACAGATTGGCATGTTTAGCAGTCATTTGTTGGAGTTCATTTATCCTTTTTTGTGTGTTGAAGTAATTGACTAATTCATGACTCCAACTGTGAAAATACAAATATTTGAAAGTATATTTTTGTGTGTTTTTAGCTTAAATATGACAATTCAACTTTGTCACGTTCACTTTTTTTCCTAATCTTCTTGTGGTTTCTGCCATTCATTTAGTTGTCATGCTTTATTTTGTTGATTTGCATGTGAGGAAACTTGGATATGTTTCTTCTGTAGTTTGTAATAAGTAAAAACTTCAATGTTTTCATGAACACTGATACTATCTTGGTGACCATAAAAAGTGCTTGCTGTAGACTTTTCTTTCTTTTTCAACCTTCACTAATAAATATATAAATACATTCATATAAGGGGGTTCTGTAGTTTTTTAAAAGATTCTGCGTGTGTGTCTCTTTTAGTAGGATTTTCTATTGATTCATTGTGACTATAGATTGTCTTTTGAATTTGCTGCTTTAGTTATATGATGGGACTTGTTAAGTTTTTGAAGATCCGCGATATCTTTGCAGAATTTTTTTCCTTTCTTCTTATCAGATTGGTTTGCAATACAGTTCAACAGGGGTACCAGTGCTATGCAACATTATGTTGGATTACGTCCAATGTTTGACCCGGAGATCATGATTGCAGACACAAGATTAGTTCTTGGTGACCAGGGTTCCCAACCTAGTCCTAGCAATGTTGCACGTGGACTTGCTTCGTTGTACAAAGAAATTACTGGTTTGAAGAACTACCATTATCTGTTGAAAGGTGTTGTCTCTTCATTGATCTTGATTTAATGGTTATATTGTCTCGCAGACACAGTGCGAAAAGAAGCAGCCACTATAACTGCTGTTTTTCCTTCTCCAAATGATGTAATGTCGATTTTAGTTCAGGTATTCAGCCTGAAGACCTTTCTTTTTGCTCCCCCTCCTGGTTTTGGTTTCAGTTCATTCCATGACGTGGATACAAGGATGGTATTGATTGGTAATCTCACGGTTGTGACCAATTTGCTGTGTGAATGCAGCGAATTTTGGAGGATAGAATTCCAAAACTCCTCGAGAAGCTGTTGGTGAAACCATCTCTTGTGAATCCACCACCTATGGAAGAAGGCGGACTTCTCTTGGTGGGTTAAATTACTATAACTGCAATTTTTTATCAACCCTGATGTTAAGATAATGTAAAAGTTAGATTTTAATTCCATTGTATTTGCCTGAGGTTTCAGTACCTTAGAATGCTAGCAGTGGCATATGAGAAGACACAAGAACTTTCTCGAGACCTACGTGGTGTGGGGTGTGGTGACTTGGATGTTGAAGGTATGTATTAATGCAAGTTAGTTATTACCAGATTCATTTTGCATAAATTGTCTGGACCTTTTATTTGATGGTAGATCCTTCATTGGTATAAGGGTACAATTCTTCTGGTGGTAAAGTAGAATGAGGAATGAATGGCTGCTTTTTTCAGTTTAATTTGCTAGAATCCTAAGTGATATACATGGACAAGGATAGTAAAACAAACACCATTATGGAGGAATGTGATGCATGAAATATCTCTTTCATGACCCTATGAGGCATAGTTATCAGAATCGGACTAGACATCAACCCGGCCGAGGGAACGGGTCAATGGATCACTGGTTCAATCGTTGAGGCAATTGGTCGAACTGGTCGTATAATTAAAAATAAAAATAAAAAAATTAAATGAATATCGTAAGAAATTATAGTTATTGTAAAGATAACATGTTTAATATAATAGTAGATCAAATAGAAGTACAAAAATTTCACCTCAAATTTCCATTGAAAGACAACCCACCAAACCCTTGAATCGTCCTCTTTTATGTGAATATGACCTTGTGAGAGCAAATCCGTGGAAGCAACAATTTCCTCACAACTCTCAACCAATGAATTCTGGCTAATTTTTCGGTTAAGCTGATTTGAAATTAGAAAGAAAAACTTGCTAATTTTTTTGGGGGGCTTCAAGAAGAATTAAGGTGTTAAGTTGCAACGTGGGGTCATTAGAGTTAGAGATCTATGATTGAAGGATTAGAGTTTGAAAACTGAATAAGGGTGGTTGAAGAATTAGAAATGGTTGAAGGTTGGTTATGACGTTTGTTAAGAGAGCTTGTATCCCACATCAAATAATTAGGACTGCCAAGGTTGGTTTATATACTTGAGGGGCTACTCCACCCATTACCAATTGGTTTTGGGTTGAATGCTCTATTATGGTATCAAAGCTAGCCCTTGGGTGGTCAATTGGCCAAGTTTTTTGTCCATTTGAATCTTGAAATGCATGGTTAGTTATTTGTTTGTTTGTTTGACCCCACATGCGAACCCGAGTCCCACGTGAGGGAAGGTGTTAATAGAGCTTGTATTCCATATCAAATAATTAGAAACACTAAGGTTGGTTTATATATTTTAGGGTTCACTCCACCCATTGTTAATTAGTTTTGGGTTGAATGTTTAACATTGTTGAATAGTATTGGAAGATGCAAAAATACCTTAGAAAACCTAGTTATCAAATTGCGTATCGGAAGACGTATATTTTTTAAAAATAGTGTATTTTATCGTGTATCGTAATATATGCGCAATTTTAATTTGTAAATAATTATATATATATATATATATATATATATATATATATGTATATATACCTTTGTAAAAAAGTAATAAACTCATAATAACATAGTATTTTATTAATATTCCACCAACTATTCAAGTTTTCAACATAGTTCAGTTATATCAAAATGCAAAAACTTCTAATTTAAATTTCTAACTTTAACTGGTTGAATTGAATAACATTAACAACAGACTTTTTTTTTAAACCATAACCACTAAAACGAGGTTGTTTCATTGGATAGTGATTAAAAAATAAATTCTAGGACAAACGATGTCGTTTTAGCCCAAAAAATAAAAAAAAAAATAAAAAATAAAAAATAGAATCATCATGTATCGTACGATACAGTGCAAAAATGATACAGAAACACGATACATATCGTTTTTTTGGTGTATCGTGACGTATCGTATGATACATATCGCGTGTCGTACGATACTAATAACTATGTTTAGAAAATTGTTATTTAGCGACCTTTTTTATCCTCATAATCAAAAAAATAATTGTTTTTATTATGTCTTTTTTGGAGGACCCAAGTGAAAAAAATGATATCTTTCTGAGTACCGCGGACTTATGCACTAGAACCCATAAATAAATGCTCGTTACTTGAAATAGCAAACAAAGATAAGAACTAAACTTCCCTTTCTTGTAAAGTGTATGCTTGTTTGAAATTTACGGTACTGGCTGGGTTGCTTTGACCAAATAGATGTACAAATTAATTTTAATTATGTGAGACCGATGGCTGGACCTGTTGGTTCATTGATCAGTATTTTTTGGATCTTATTTAAGTAACAAGCTTCTAATTGTTTTTTCATCTAGCTAATTTTGGTTGTAGAACTTGGTGTAACAAATGTCTCAAATGTTCATTGGACTTACCGTTAAGTGCCTGGAGATTTTTATATTATTTCGCTGAAGGACAGTTTGAGATTTTCACAACGCAGCAAACGTTAACTGTACTTTGTTTGAGTTTTCACATTTTTATGAAATTTGTCCCATTTTACTTTTGAATTTTAATGTCCTGAAAACGGATCTGTAAATGCAGGCCTAACCGAGTCTCTCTTTCTTCCACACAAAGACATATATATTGAGTATGAGCAGGCCTCTCTAAGACAACTCTATAAAGCGAAGGTTTATCTCATTGTTCTTTGTGTGTGTGTGGGTATGATTCTGTGTTTTGGCCTGAATGTAATTTTGATTTCGCTATGCAGATGGAGGAATTGCGTGCTGAAAGTCAGCAGTCATCTGAGTCAACAGGGACAATTGGACGCACTAAAGGAGCTTCAATAACATCTTCCCACCAGCAGATATCTGTGACTGTGGTGACCGAGTTTGTGCGTTGGAATGAAGAAGCAATTTCTAGATGCACTTTGTTTTCGTTGCAGGTAAATTGCCTAAATTTTGTACTGATATGGGCATATTTCTATGATAATTTTGCTATTGACCTAGTTTTACCGTTTACGTATTTTAGTGGATTCACTTGTAATTTAACTTGTCTTCATACAGCCTGCTACCCTGGCAGCTAATGTAAAAGCCGTGTTCACCTGTCTTCTTGACCAAGTAAGTTGGCTGATCTCTTTTCTACATTCTGGGATTTTAGTTGTTCAGTGGACATTGGAAATTGACATTAGGTGCTTATATTTTTACCTTCCTCATTTTTTATATTTCTGCAGGTCAGTCTATACATCACTGATGGGCTTGAACGATCCAGAGACAGTCTGACTGAAGCTGCAGCTTTGAGAGAGAGATTTGTGCTGGGCACAAGTGTTAGTCGAAGAGTTGCTGCTGCTGCAGCTTCTGCGGTAATTCCTTGATCACATACCTTCCTTTTTTGTCATTCTAAAATCAGAAAGACTTATCTAAGATAAGTGTGTAAGTGTCTTTCTTAAGTAGCGAATTCTTCATCTGTTCACTCCTTAGTTGATTGAATTAAGGGACGGTTTGGTGATTAGCAGGCAGAAGCTGCTGCTGCTGCTGGTGAAAGCAGTTTCAGATCTTTTATGGTGGCTGTACAACGATGTGCAAGCAGTGTGGCCATTGTTCAGCAAGTACGTCGGGTTGAGCTTTGCTATCATAGATTTTTTTGCCAATTCGATTGGAGGAACGACCTTATACTTACTTTGAATCCTACATTGATTTGAAATGTTTCTGCAGTACTTTGCAAATTCTATTTCCCGGCTTTTACTACCTGTGGATGGTGCTCACGCCGCTTCATGTGAAGAAATGGCAACAGCTATGTCCAGTGCAGAGGGTGCTGCTTACAAAGGCCTTCAGCAATGCATTGAAACGGTTATGGCTGAGGTCTGTAATTCAAGTTGTGAAGTATATACTGAGGTTTATGGGTGCCAAAGCAAGGCATTTGTTTGCTCAATTAACTTAAATTATTCTTCGGCTATAATTTTGCTTTGGTGTTTACTGTGACAACTTGTCGATTAAATCTTTAAAGGCCCTCGGGTCCTGCACATTTCTTCGGTTCTTTTGCTAGTCAGTTCATTCTGTTTTTGAATATTTTTCTCATTTAGGTTGAGCGATTGCTCTCGGCTGAACAAAAAACAACTGATTATCGCTCACCCGATGATGGCATCGCTCCTGATCATCGACCAACCAATGCCTGCACAAGGTTTGTCCTACTTCACTGTAAAACTTTAGCTGAATAGATATATTTATTGCGGTAGAATGTTTCTGGAAACTGCATCAGTATTGAGTGTATTTTTTTTGTATTTCTCACAGCGTATAAAATATACTCATTGCATGGGAATAAAATGATATTGTTTTGTCTCATGGCACCACCTTATGGCATTCATTTCTAGATACTTTCACTTGAACTTGCATCCTTTTTCCCTTTTTCTTGTCATCATTGTTGTTTTTGATTACGAGTGGCTGATATGTGCCTTATTTTTCATGTGTTTTCTGGGGCTCATGTTTCTCTTCCCCTGGCCAGGGTCGTGGCATACCTCTCCCGTGTGCTTGAGGCTGCATTCACTGCACTAGATGGTCTTAACAAACAAGCCTTCTTGACTGAATTGGTACATATATCTCGTCTGCCTGCTTCTTTAATTCTTTTAGTGCTTTTAATTTCTTCCATATCTGGTAATGATCACAGATGTGCAAATGTCTGATAAGCTGCATGCATTAATCTTTAGATTTCTCTGATTTTCATGTCCGTCCACAAGTGTTGCAGCGCATCATGGTATTTTGCTGATCATAATTTTATATGTGAAGGAGCTGTTGCATGCATTTAGTGTTTTGTTAATATAATGATGTATATGGATATCCAAAAGTAGGCTTTATGAATGAATTGTCTTAGTTGTATTTTCTACTGTTTGAGAAAAGACTTTATGCCATTATACTGTGGGTATATAAAACTGGAACATTGAATTTTGCCCTTTTCGTTGTCCCTTGTGCACAGCAATGAATGTTTGAGCAACCTGACATCCCATTCTCCTTACGTCTGCCAACTCCTTTTGTTGCATTTTAGGATAATTTCAATCAGTGATTCTATCATCTAAATATTTTCAATTTTTGTTGTTATATGCATGTTCTTTCAATAACACCATAAGTTTTTTCTATATAGGGGAACCGTTTGCAGAAAGGGCTGCTTAATCATTGGCAGAAGTTTACTTTTAATCCCAGGTATCATCTTGCTTTAACTTGTCACACTTTGGTCATCATGTTGAGACTTTGATTTCTGCAACATGGTAAAATCATGTTACCCTGATGGTTTGTTACAGACATTCTGCATCATTGCAAAATCATGTTCATATATGCACACTGTTTTGAATTTGTTACTCTCTAACTTTCTCTTCTGCATGGGCCAGTCTGTCTTGGCATATCATTCCATCTGTTATGAACCTTATATGAAATGCGTGCTTGTTAATGCAACAAATGGTGACTTCAGGTTCTCTGATTCACTGGTCACCTTTGATTTTTAGAGACAAGGTGCTGTTACTTGCAGGCCATGTGACAATATGACTGGTACTTCCAATATATTCTGGTTGTGAAATGAACTATCCTGGTTAATTGCTATTTTTCCCAATGGAAGAGCTAGGGACTGAGACCAAGCTTGGGACTTCAGGTTCTCTGATTCACTGGTCACCTTTGATTACTAGAGACAAGGTGGTGTTACTTGCAGGCCATGTGACAATATGACCGGTACTTCCAATGTATTCTGGTTGTGACTTGAACTATCCTGGTTAATTACTATTTTTCCCAATGGAAGAGCTAGGGACCGAGACCAAGGGTATCTATGCTTCGCTCATGTAAATTATTTAGTATTGGACATGGTGAAGTTGATATAGCTACTAGAGTAGTTTGTCTTGGTTCCAAAAATTGGTTTCTTATGTGCATAGGATATCTACCATGGACATCGTCTGCACTTTGGTTACGACAAATAGGTTTCCTTGATGGAACTCACGGGGTATGAAAGTTTACTAGGGCCATCTATTGTTGCTCAATTTATGACAAATTTTAGAATTTTGACGTGTATACTGCTCTAGGGCAGTCATTGGATTTCTGCCCGCTTATTGTTGCTTCGTTACCTTGTGGGTGAGGGCCTTTACAATTGACCCTTTCTCGGAAAATCATTCACTGTGCAGCAACTAATAGGCCTTTGTGAATGTGCTCATCCTTCCAAGCAAATGTAATAATGTATCTTACAGTATACAAGCCGGAATGTGCACCGATAAATTCTTTTTATCTGCTGCTCTTGTGCAACTTCTTCACTTTCTGTTTTGTTTGCATTTGTAGTGGAGGGTTGCGGCTGAAGCGTGACATAACTGAGTATGGGGAATTCGTGCGCAGTTTCAATGCTCCTTCTGTCGATGAGAAATTTGAATTGTTGGGCATGTAAGTTGTAGGGTTCTGCCTGATTTTGAGCCTTTGATTTATCAGGTTTGTTGCTTGATTATTGACATAACTTTTATCTCCAGCATGGCAAATGTTTTTATCGTTGCTCCTGAAAGCCTGTCCACTCTGTTCGAAGGTACCCCTAGCATTCGGAAAGATGCACAAAGGTAATTGTCAACAAGGCAACATCTATTGAATGTACCGAAACATATAATCATGTTTTAGAAAACCTTATGAAACATAACAAATCAATTACCCATCAAAAGTAGTGCGCAACATAAGGCCCTGTTTGGTTTGCATCTTTAAAATAGTTTTCCTATTTTTAGATACAAAAAACATAAGAGAACTTGTTTGGAAAGCAGAGTTTTGTATCTAGTATTCTAAAACTGGGAAAAAAAAAAGACAGAATTTCAGAAAACACTAATAACGTGTTTTCGCTAGTTTTGAGACAGTTTCAGAAAAATTGAAAATACGGGATGTAATCTACTGTACAATTAAAAGGCATCAATTAAAAGGGTTTTTTTTCTTTCTCATCCGTGTCTTTCTCTTCGCTTCCAAAATAAGCCCTGATCAATTCCTTCAAACCTTCTGATCTCGTTTGAAGTTCTAGCCCTTCAAGTGGCACAAGTTGACAATTGACTTCTAACAAGTTCCTGAAGAATGCTCGTTCCATGTGCTTTATGTTTTCTCATCGATTGATTTTATATATTTTCTTGAGGTTGACTTTCTCCTTAGATCTGACCTTGTTTTTGAATACTGTTTTTTTTAAAACATATCCAAAGAGACCCTTGTTTCTCTTTGAAGAGAAGTCCCTGTGATCTTTACAAGTTTGTGAAGCATGTTCCTCATAATTTATCCGGTAGGAAGCATACCTTACTATGGCATATTTATATGTAAATTTACATTTGTCAATGATGTGTTTTAGAGGAAGGAAGACAGAATGCCTTCAATGTCTATGTTATTCTTTTTTCTCTACCTAGATCCCCTTTATGATATGAACTTTTAAGTTGGCTGCAAATGCAGGTTTATTCAGCTTAGAGAGGACTTCAAGAGTGCGAAACTTGCAGCGAGACTTAGCTCATTGTGGCCGAGCTCTAGTTAATGCAGGGAATAGGATGCTGAAATGGAGGGGGGGCCTTAATTATGAAATGTGTGGCGTGAGAGGAGCTGACACCTCAAGTTGGACGGCTGAAGCTGAGGCCATTTTTGAACAGGTCTGTGGTCAATTGAATTTCTTGGGCAATAAACTCCGCCTTGGACAACGGTATGGTGTATCAACCTTTCCTCTATTTTTAACCCTTACGACTACATATTCCTTACAACTTTAGATGAGAAAATTCGAAGGATTGTATGACCAAGGCTATAATTTATGTACTTGATTTGCACTTGTTGGTTGTATCTTCGATCATAGGAAGGAAAGTATCATGTTTGGGATTGTTCCTTTATGTAATATGATGCTTTTGGTAATGACATGTCATGTTGGACATAGCAAATTTTGGTTCCAGATTAAAGTTTTTGGTACCGAGAAAAGTTACCATTCAATAAAGTTCGAAAATTTGGGATATAACCTAAAATCTTACGATCAATCCCAAGTAACTTGATTTGATTGGATTGTAACTGGGGTTGGCCTAACAAATCCGGAAGTCCTAGGCGAGAATATGAAGCAGGGCCCTATTAATAGGTAACAATTATTAAAATTTATTCTTTTAAAAGCTATTTTTTTAGCTTTTTGAAATACAAAAATATTGATTAAAATTTTATATTAAAGTTTTGTTATATAGCTTTTTCAATAGATATTATAGTTAATCTATTTAATCTTTTTTGTGACATAGTTGATCGAAGATAAGATTTTGTTAATTTAAATTTTGAAAAATTTTTCTCTGTTGAAGTAATTGTTACCGCGATATTCTAAATGCATTTTGAAAAGAATCTAATCGTTTTATATAAATTAGGTCTTCAACAATCAACTTTCAAGATTAAAGCATTTAAGTTTTTGTTAGAAAAGGATAAATCAACAATAATATCAAAAATATGAAATCAACTTATTACAAATTCTAAGAACACCAAACTTCTAAAAATTTCTAATAAAAAATGAGATAACAATTGAACAAACCAATTTATTATAACAGATTGAGCCTAAAAAATTTTGACCCTTGAATCTTGATCGCTATCAATTAATTGCTGAATTTTTGAATTATAAGAGAATAGAGAGATTTGGTGTTCTTTTTTTATTTAGATTCAGGCTTCACATTTCACAGAGAGAGGGCACGAGGGAGTGGCGTTAAACAAATACTGTGATTTGTGAGTGAATTCGTAATAATAGCGGTTAATAAATTTGTGCGAGAGATATAGAGTGATGTAGAGAGATTTGCCTAATTCCTTCATAAATGAGAGAGAGAGAAATACCTCTAGTCGTCTACTTTTCTTGTTTTAAAAGTCTAGCAGTCTACTATAGCTGACAAGTAGAAAATTTTTTTAGGTAAATTGTTGAAGTGTTAATGGACCTATCAATAAAATTTTGGTCCTCTCAAATTAGCCCATCTAAAATACATGCATCCGTAATTAAAACTCTTAATAGAGGACCCCAAAATTTTGTTAAAAATGGGGGCCCTTGGCCGCCAACTAAGTGGCCTAGGCCTTGGGCCGGCCCTGATTGTAACATCTGATATGGTATCGTAGAAAAATCCTTGTTTTAAGGCACCTTAGTTCAGCATAAGTATATGGTAGAAGTTTGTTTCCATGTCGTGTTTCATTGCAAATTTGAATTTGGTTCTTATGGCATCATATGTGGCTTTTGCTTGAACTAAATGCATCATCCTACGGGAAGCTGAAATATAGTGCTAATTTCATTGGTTTCAATGGTGAATTTCTAATACCAGCTCGTGGAGAAATAATTTTGACTCTTATACGTAATATTACATATAAAAATTAAGGCCCGGGTCTCAGCGTAGTTGTAAAATTGTTTCATTATAAACTGAATGCCACGAGTTTGGTAGGAAAATAACATCTATGCATGGGGAGTAAGGTTAATGCTCTTCATATTGTGTAGTGGTTGGAGCTTGGTGTATTTGGGTGATTCTTTTTTGTTATATCCAGAAATTATTTTATAGGGTTAATTTGCATTGGTTTCATTGAGATTATTTTAGTTTCCAATAGTTCAATTGCATCATTTTGATCGTTGAAGAATTAAATGTTTCTATATATTCTTTCAAGCAGACAACGTCCAAATTGGTAACGATTTTTTATCATAAGTTTTCACACAATGCCTAAATATGGACAAAAAATAATTTTAATAGTTCTTAAACAAAATTTGAGTAACTCTTGACAAAAAAATGTGTAATATGAATAGCTTTTGACTAAAATTTGAATAGCTCACGATTAAAACTGTGCATTTAGGTAACTATTTAACCAAAATTTAAGTAGAAATTTGGTTAAGAGTTATCTAAATTATTTTTTTATCCATATTTAAGTATCATGTGATAAATTTATGATAAAAAATCGTTAACAATTTAGATATTATTTGCTTATGGGATCATATAGAAATATATTTAATACTTCAGGCATCAAAATGATGCAATTGAAACATTGAAGATCAAAATAAGATAAATTTCATATTTTAGAGACCTCCAGTGCAATTAACTCTATTTTATAATCATAAAGTTGGGTAAGGTTTGGAGTTCAATGTCCATTTAACTCATCTAAAAATTGTGTTTTTTTAACAAGCTCCTAGATAATATTAGCAATGAAAAAGGGAAGCATTGCCAAACATGTATTTAAATTGGATTGTTGTTTTATTTTTCATTCTTAGGCCGGCGGAGACGTTCCTTTGCTAGATGTTTGGACAGCAAAACTACTGAAACTAGGTCATTCAATAGCAAGCCATTTAGGAAGGATAGAGCTGTCAATAAAAAGCACGTCAACCAGCCAAACCCAATCTGTAAAATGTCACAACCATGAGCTTCACACCTCTGTCAAGAAGAAAGTGTGTTTTTGTGTGTATGGAGAGAGAGAGAGAGAGAGGGGGGGGGGTTATGACCACTTGTTTATAGTGGTGGTTGATGGTGGTTGGTGGGTCCTATTTGAATATGTTCATGTATTTAGTCTTCTGCTTTATAATTTATCATCATCATCACTACTCATGGGGACTCATGCCTCTGAAAATATTTGAGATAGGGATTGGGACCAAGAAGTTTCACCAGTGCCTGACCGTATCTAAGCCTTATGGGTGCGACCTGAGTGCGTCAACTTGGATCTAGTCTAAGCCAAAACCCGAAATATTTAGTATTTTCACGTATTTTTAGTACTGGGTTTGGCCTGGCCTAAACATTTCAATCTTATTTAAGTTTGGGTTGTACTTTGTTTGGGATTTTGGGTTCTCGAGACAATTCAAATTCTAGCTCCTGTAACTGAGAATCAAATTTGTCTTCAACTCGAGTTTTTAGTTTCTATTCGCCTTGTTCGCTTAGATTCCAGTGATCAGTAGAATTTGGAGTTTGACTGGAGATCAGAGATCGAAGTTTAAGACAAAGATAAAGACGATACCATACCAATTCAGATAATGGAGTGCTTTGAACCGGTGAGGTGACGATTCAAATGAAAATCATTCGAAAATAAACACGTGTCTAGAGATTTAAATGGAATTTACACTCCAGTTGTATGAAAAAATGAAGTGCCTTTAGGTTCTAGTATAATGCATGTAAAGGTTATACTAATAGCAAATAAAAAAAATTCGTGAAGAGCGCAGATACAAACTTTTCAGAAAGAAAATTTATTAATAGCTAAATGAATCATTCACAGATTATAATTAACCAAGTTATTTTCTAAAAAGCAAAATTAAAGCCTGGGATTTGGATAGTAAAATTTCTGTCACTGTTCGATGCTATTGTTTAATGTCATTGTCGTATGTTACTGTTATTGACTGTTTTATGTTACTGTAAAATTATGACATTAAGGATAAATTAGTATTTACGATTTCAATTGTCCTTAAGACCTAAAATAACACTTGTTGGACTTTCGGATAAAAAAAGTCCTATACCAGCATTTAAATTTCTCTTGATCTTTTCACCCGCAAACCCATCCGAGTTGCACACCAGTGAACTCTTATACCACATTGTCACCGTGACTTACCCGAAAAAGAACGTCACGTGCACACTCGCATGTTGCCGACCCTTAGGGGTGGTCAAATTTGTCTTCTTACAAGTAAGAAGTCTCAGATTCGATAATTTTCATATCTTCTAAGGGTACACTTGTTTCTTAGGAGACATGTCTTTAAATTAATTCAAACTACAATAGCTAATCTCAAAATTTAAGGGAGTAATCAGTATAAATTTGAACAATTTGTAACACAAAACAAAAAAAAAAAAAACCATTTCTTTACTATTTATCCTCTTGCCTTTCCAGATGATATGTAACTAATCCAGTTGAGAGAAACGAGAGGTAGTAGCAAAAAAAAAAAGAGAGGATCACAGGGAATTGTTGAATCAACCTATCTGCCGAGGGAAAGAAAGAATGGCCACCAAAAATGCACCAAAAAAAAAAAAAAATTCTATTGAGACATAATTCGAGAACATAATAAGTTGATAAAAATGAAATAATAATAAAATTTATTTAATGTTGTATGAGACTCATTAGTAAATATATTTCTCAATTACTATTTCATTGAAAATAATTTATTATATCGTCAAATTATTATGTTCTAACATCATTGGTGGCACACAAAAAGTGTTAGACTATGCACGAATAATATTATTATATTATATTATTTATTTTCATTGAATTTTGAGCGTATTATCTCACACGACTTATTACCAGGAACATAAAATGACGGACCCCACACGCTTGCAAACTTTTTGCCTCGTTCCACCCACCACTACGAACATAAACTCTCGCAATTATTAGCTTCGTTATTCTCTCTCTCAAATTTTTTTTTTTTTTTTTTTTTTTATGGGCAGTTCTCTCTCTCCAATTTACCTTTTAGCTTTCTTATCAATTGTTTTTTAGTTTAACGGTGCAGGATATTTGAGTGAATTTACCTAATTTTTTTTAATAATGCTACATGAATTTAAAAAATAGATTTAAAAATTAAATTTGATAATCACAATC